CCGCCACCGGCATTAACGAGGGCGCCGCCTTCAGCACCAGCGAAAGCACCGCCGAAGGCCCCGGCTTCAAGACCACCAAAGGCACCACCTCCAGCCCCACCGCCGGCACCGGCCAAAATACCACCGTCAGCACCGCTGAAAGCGGACTGGAGGAGGGCTCCAAAAGCACCTCCACCACCGAGAGCACCATGTCCAGCACCACCTTCAGCATAGTCAAAAGCACTACCTGGATTGGTCATCAAAGCGGCCTGGAGAAGAGCTGCCAAAGGACCCCCACCGCCGAGCACACCACCTTCGCCGAAAGCACCATCTTCCCCACCTTCTCCTCCGAAAACTCCACTTTCAAAAGCAGCAAAAAAGTCAGCGTATCTGCCATCTGCAATACTGCCATAAGCGGCACCGAAAGGACCTCCTATAGGGCCACCGTAAGCCCCGCTGTAAACGCCTGCATTTACGCAGCCTTTTAGCTCAGCTAATTGGGTTAAGAACTCCACTTGAGGATCGACAATGCCGGCCATGGCTTGACCGCTGGCAATGGCCTCCGCTTTTTTTGCAGCGCACATGTAGTAAATAAAAGAATCAGGAGGGGCGGTAATTGGTGGTACGTCGAAAACGTCCATGCCACGTACGAAGTAATCCACAGGAGCGTATATGCCCTTGTGTACGCTACGTGTATCCGCGTCATCCGGACCTGGGTAGACAAAAAAAGAAAGTTTTTAAGCTGACCAAACATATTTACGAAACATTCTGCGGTGAAAATCTCAACGCCGGAGGCAAACAAGTTCTATATATAATACCTGAAGTGGTATGCATTCCGCGGTCATATGATGAACCTGTACGCCATTGCCTCCTACCGCCACTACACTCCTCCCCCCTCCCACGACAGAGTGAGTCACACCTGAGATTCGATTCGCACCGCCTCACGTCTGACAGTTACAACAGCACTCTGCGGACCTCCTCCTCGCAAGGTCGTCTACCCTTCTTTCTCTTAAACACCAGTGTACCAAACTCACCTCTCAGTTTCCATTACGTCAGATAACGAGCAAGTGCTGCCTGCTTGAACATCTATGAGTAAATCTCTGCTTTCCGACTAGCCTTCCCTTTTTATCAGATGATATCCCGCATGGTACTCCTACACACATGTCGATTCGTGGCAGTAGTTTAATCTATTTACTTCTCCAACGTCGGATGCTGAATATTCAAGGTTTAAGAACCACATCCATGTCCTGAGCCGAGTCAGGTTTTGAGCTGACTTTGTCTTCGATACTTCCAATTGGGTAAGGGTGTCGGATCGAGGGCAGTAACACTAAGCTTGTGAGGTGGAGGTGTCGTGTCTCAGTCGTATTTCTTGAATGGTCTGGGATATCCTTGCAGGGTTTTCGCAGTGAGTGCGTACTGCCTCATTTGAGACTAAGCCGGTAGAGCAGTGTTCAGATACCTAGAGCATAGTCCAGCATGCTCAGCCGTAGAGAATGACAGATCGAACGGATGCACAGTAAGCGCGGATCTTCGTGACGATGGAGATGCCACGTCGGAACTTGATAAAACTCGAAGAGCAGCATCGATTTGAGAGACAATGTCAGCATTATTCTGTCAATTTTTCGGGCGCTCCGGGTAGCTAGCAGCAGTATGCCACGCTTCCCACATGCCAAACCCGACCTAATCTAGGCTGTACAGAAGGATATGTTTCTAACGTAAATGGAGTAAGCGCATACACACATGCGACGTTAATCACCTTTCAAAGCTAAGTCATCAGGCCACGGATCGGGGTTCAGGCGGTTGTGATCCGAAACATTTAAATGCTGGCTGAACTCCCGCACACTGCTGACAGACAGTATTTGTAAAGGCAGTCTCAATTAGAGTTTGTGAATACCATTTTAATAGTGAGCACCTTTCACACTGCGTGAACACTTGCACG